TCTCTCTTATACCTCTGTACCTCTCTCTCTAGATCATTGAGGTCTTTCCTTACGTGTCTGGGCGGAGGTTGCCCATCCACAAGATGATGATTCGGATGGCTTTGTCTATAACACTCAAGCAGGTATTGCATTGACAGCATTTTGTTATGCTGTCGCACCGTTAAGACCTTCGCCACCTCATGTAGGTGATCGACAGGTGTCATGAGGAGGCACCCTGTTGCGGTTCTAAGGGCGGCATTCTGGCAGGACTGAACATTTTTCCACTGAGTAGCACTGACGTTGGCGGACCACACCGGAGCCGCATAGTTTACCACATACCGGCCTATCACGTTGTAAGAGGTCAACAAGGTTTCCTTATCAGCTCCCCAAGTTCTGCCGGCCAGCGACCTGAGGACCTTGTTCCTACTTCTAATCTTGTCGCAGATAGCTGTGGTATGCGCGGACGACTTAAAGAGGCTATGGAATGTGACCCCTAATACCTTGGGGTAGTTGGTGTTCGGAATAATAGCACCATCGACCTGCACATTCAAGGATAGCCCCGTCTCCGTAGTCCATGTGGTGAAAAGTGTGGCCGTCGACTTAGTGGCGGATATCTTCATATTCCTAGCAGTAAAAAAGGCGGTAAGATCAACAAGGTAAGCGTTTAACCGATCGCAAATGTCATCAATAATGGATCCGAACGCCACGAACGTACATCATCATCTGCGTACGTTATTATCTCTATGCCGTCTGGAGGGTGAGGAATTCCAGAAAGGTAGAGGTTAAACAGTTCCGGAGATATCACCCCACCTTGAGGAACTCCCTGTTTAAGTCTACGGATGCTCGACTTCTTGTTTCTCAATTCCACGTTTACTATCCAACGTTTCACAATTGGCCGGAGGGCCGTGCGCTCAATATCCTCGAACAGTGTGGCATGATTGACTGTATCAAAAGGGTTTTGATAAATCAAGTGCCACCATAACTGTTCTATCACACGGCCTGTTCTGGTTGAGACTTGTGCTCATATGTGTGGTAAAGGCGTATAAAGCTGTTGTTGTGCTATGTAATTTCCGGAACCCATATTGATGATCAGCTACTGGGAAACACTCTCTTATGCTGGGGAGGAGTAAAGCCTCGAGCGTATGTCCGTGTGGCTGGTGCGCACGATAACTCTCGAAGGGAGTTTCCGATTTGATCCAAACTTGGTACATCGTAATATTATTGTCAAACTTAGATCGAGTTGGGGGATGGACAATATCGGTCCACTCCTTCTGGTACCTCCCCCACAAAATGTAAACATTTTCAAAGAAAATAATTTACTGCACATAAAAAACAAGTTGAAAAGTATCAGTCGGTATTGCCGCCAGAGATATACCCTCAGCCTATGTTCGATTATCTAAATATATTTTGACTAGTGTTAAGGTTATTCAAACGTTTGACCCTCTATGGAGCAGATCCCGAAGGAATGGGTCAATATTGCCCATTTCCTATCGGACCTAAAAATATGATATAAATATTTCGACAGAAGTGCCAAGTCTAAATGAAATCGGATGTTAATTTGGCGATTTATGAGCTTCATGGGCACTCAAAATTTCAATATTTTGTGGGGGAGGTACCAGAAGGAGTGGACCGATGTATTCCCCCTTCACACCAGACCATGGGTTAATACATATATTAGGATGTGTGAAATTTAAAGACAATCGGACGCTTACATCACATTTTATGAGAGTTGTTATTATTCAAAATTTTGACCATTTGTGGGGGAGGTACTTGGTGGAGTGGACCGCTATTGTCCATTTTCACTCCTGTCCTAGTACTGACGCAAATATTAGGATTTGCAAAGTAGGAGCAAATTCGGATTAGCCTTTCTCTTTCTGTGCAAAAAATATGTTTTTTTTTTTTTGAAAATTTCGACCTTTTATGGGGGAGGTACCAGAAGGAGTGGACCGATATTGTTCATCTTAACACCAGACCTTGGGTTAATATAAATATTGGGATGTGTGAAATTTGAAGACAATCGGACTCTAAATCAGATTTTATGAGAGTTGTAATTATTCAAAATTTTGACCATTTGTGGGGGAGGTACTTGATGGAGTGGACCGATATTGTCCATTTCCACACCTGACTTAGTACTGACGCAAATTTTAGGATATGCAAAGTTGGATCAGAATCGGATTATCCTTTCTCTTTCTGTGCAAAAAATATATTTTTTGAACATTTCGACCTTTTGTGGGGGAGGTACCAGAAGGAGTGGACCGATATTGTTCATCTTAACACCAGGCCTTGGGTTAATACAAATATTGGGATGTTTGAAATTTGAAGACAATCGGACTCTTACATAACATTTTATGAGAGTTGTAATTATTCAAAATTTTGACCATTTGTGGGGGAGGTACTTGATGGAGTGGACCGATATTGTCTATTTTCTCACCTGACCTAGCACTGACGCAAATATTAAGATTTGCAAAGTTGGAGCAAATTCGGATTATCCTTTCTCTTTCTGTGCAAAAAATATATCTTTTGAAAATTTCGGCCTTTTGTGGGGGAGGTACCAGAAGGAGTGGACCGATGTTGCCCATCTTCGAACTCGATCTAAGTTTGACAAAAATATTATGATGTAGCCAATTTGGACCAAATCGGATACTCCCTTCGAGAGTTATCGTGCGCACCAGCCAGCCAGACAGACAGACGGACGGACGGACGGACGGACGGACGGACGGACGGACGGACGGACATCGCTAGATCGACTCCAAATGTTCTGAAACGGATTTGGTCCAAAGAGACCTAGGGTGTAAAACCGTTATTTCGACTAGGCACGTTTTGACCGTATCAAATGATATATACCCTCTGTAGCCATATGGCTGAGGGTATAATAAAGGATAGTCCGATTTTGCTCCAACTTTGCAAATCCTAAAATTTGCATCAGTGCTAGGTCAGGTACGAAAATCGAGAATATCATTCCACCCCATCAAGTACCTCCCCCACAAAGGGCCAATTTTTTGAATAAGTATAACTCTTATAATATATGATATCAGAGTCCTATTGTCTTCAAATTTCACAAATCACAATATTTTTATTAGCCCAAAATCTGGTGTTAAGATGTCATATATCGGTCCCCTTCTTCTGGTACCTCCCCCACAAAAGGTCGAAATTTTGAATATCCATAAAGCTCATAAAACGCGAAATTAACATCCGATTCCATTCAAACGTGGCGCATCACAATATTTCCATCAACTCAAGATCTGTTATAAAGATGGTAAAGATCGGACCATTCCTTCTGGTACCTCCCCCACAAAGGGTCAAAGTTTTGAATAACCAAAACGTTTATAAAATCCAAAATAAGCATCCGATTCTCTTTATATTTCACACATTTCATTATTTCTACTAACGCAAAATCTGCTGTGATGTTGGGATATATTGGTCCACTCCTTCTGTTACCTTCTCCACAAAGGGTCCAAATTTTGAATATCCGTGAAGCTCATAAAATGCGATATTAACATCCACTTCCATTTAGACTTGCGAAACAAATCAGCGATTCTTTACAAGTTGCTATATCTAAATATTTCTCCCAACCAGAAACCTGAGATGAATATTGAATTTTTGATTTCGGATACCGTGATACTGGTAGCGTATCCCGACGTCAAGGAAGTGGAAGTGGACGGAAGAAAACAGCAACATCACCAGAAATGGTTCGAAAAGTAAATAAGCGACTTGATCGAAACCCGCTTCGCAGTGGCTGAAAAATGTCTCGTGAGCTGAACATATCGCAACATTCCATTCGGCAAATATTGAAAAAATGAGCTCGGGCTAAAGCCATTGAAATTCCAAAAAGTGCAAGAACTTACACCGCAACAGAAAGAAAGTAGACTCAAAAGAGCTAAAGAGTTGCTTCGCTTTACCGAAAGTGGTGAAGTGCCGAATTTGGTTTTTTCCGTCTCCGATGAGAAAACATTTGTTGTCCAGCAGTTTTTAAAAAGCCAAGCAGTTGCCAAAGAGGTCCCCTTTAAACGTGCACCTACGGTTGGCCACCAGAACTCAAGCGCCGGCCATGGTGGCGGTGGGGGCCGCCATAACAGCCGATGGTCCGTTCGTATTAATCGACCCTGGCATAAGAATAAATGTCGAATATTATCGCGAAAATATTCTGGAGGGTGTATTAATGCCTTGGACACGCAAACATTTTGGCCCCAGACCTTGGACATTCCAACAGAACTCGGGACACCATCGCACTCAGCAAGCGGCGCCACCCAAGAATGGTTACAAAATGAAGTTCCTCGCTTCATTTCCAGTGCACAATGGCCACCAAAATCTCCGGATACTAATCCGTTGGAATATTGTGTCGGGATTATTTTGGAAAGCGAGGTTGCCACTAAAAATACCAAAGTGTCGATCACGTCAAGCAAGCGGTTCGCCGAGAATTGGCCAAAATACCGCAGAGCAACATTCGGGTAGCGTGTGTCGGTTTCATTGGCCGTTTGGAGGCCATAATTCGTACCAACGGAGACCATTTCGAACAAATCTAAACTTATTCTAAAATTTGATGCTATTTCCGACATTTTTTTACTTTCATTCAAAAAAATTAAAAAAGGGTAAAAATTATGGCGTTTGACTTTGTTGCGATTTGTTTTTATCTCACCCTGTATCTGGTACCTCAGGCACATTTCTCATATAAAGTGAAGGATGTAACCAATATAATTCAAACGTGGCATGTCGTGGCATATTTATATCATATTTATTTAGGTCCGATACGAAATGGAAAATATTGGCCACTTTTTCGGAATCTAATCCATAGAGGGTCGACAATTTGAATACTCATAACACAGTTAAAATATAGTTAAATAATGGTACTTTGGCTGAGGAGGATATACATCTGTCGGCTAAACCGTCTGATACTTTTTAACTTTGTTTTTTAGCTAAATCCACAACAGCTCTCTTCTCTGCTTGAGCTTCAGTTCATATTTCGATGGCTTTAAATTATTAGAAAATTTATTAATTTATTTTTCGTTTGTTTTTTTTTTCAGATAATGAACTCTATTACACCAGCACTGATCGTTCGATACACAAATTCAATGCAGCCACTGGCGAAGATAGTATTTTTGTAACATCCGATTTTTTGGTAAGTGTGAATCCAATCTAAAATCTCTTAGCTGAAATTAGAATTCATTCACATTTTCTTCCTATTTTTCAGGAAATTTACAAAACCGGTAGTTCATTTACGTTGTCGCCTGATAATACCAAAATTTTGGTACGCTATGGCGTTGAAGAAATTTTCCGGCATTCCTACATTGCCAAGTATGATGTCTTCGATATAGCAACAAGGTAAGCAATGCCATGTCGTGGAATATCTCAAACTAATCTCAAACTTTTGCTTTTCAGAACTTCCATAAGCATTCACAATGGTGAAAAGCTGCAATATTGTGCCTGGTCACCCATCAAGGATCGTCTGGGTTATGTCTACAACAACAATGTCTTTATACATTACGATGATTCGATTGAATTGCAAATCACATCGGATGGTGTGAATGGTGTCATATATAACGGCATACCCGATTGGGTATATGAAGAAGAAGTTTTGGCCAGTGGTAGTGCTATGTGGTGGTCCCCGGATGGCAATCATTTGGCTGTGGGCATATTCAATGACACCGAAGTGGAAACATTTAAATATTTCCTCTATGGCGAGGCTGAAGATCCCGAATATCAATATCCCAAAGAGGTGGACTTGAAATATCCCAAACCCGGGACCAACAATCCCGTTGTTGCCCTCAGAATATTCGATTTGAACGTAAATCCTACATATGTAACCATAAAAGCTCCCGTCAATGTTGTGAGCAATGATCATATTCTACAAAATGTTGCCTGGACGCATGATGGAAAAGTTTTAATTACCTGGTTGAATCGTCGTCAAAATATCGCCTCCCTGCAGTTGTGTAACACAACGGGAGAGTGTGAGGAAGTTAAGCAATTGCAAGAGCCCAAGGGATGGGTGACAATGGGTAACCCCATGTGTTTGCAGGAAAGCAATAGCTGTTTGTTTGCCTATTGGATTGATAATTGGTATCAAGTGTGGAATTTGGATTTGCAAAGCGGACAAAATCTATGGACCAAACGAGGCAATTTTACGGTCTTGAGAGTCTATGGTTATGATGAAACCAATAAGAAACTGTGAGTGCATGGTAGAAATTTATAAATTTTCAATATTCTTTAAAAAATATTTCGAAAATCCCTATTTGTTGCCACCTAAGAGTCTCAAAAAATTGAAATTGGTCGTAGACAAATTCTTTAGTAATTTCAGAGCCCTTGAAGAATTCTGTAGCATCCAATACGAACTTCAAATATCAAATTTGAAACAATTCCTGTAAATAATGTCGCTAAAATCACCGAAATACCGAATATCCGGAGGTACTGTAATATGGGGTCTATACGAAGACGTGAACCTGCACAGACAATTTTCTGTATTAGGCTGTAGTATCCATTTCGAACTTCAAATACCAAATTTGAAACAATTCCGGTAAATAATGTCACTAAAATCATCAAAATACCGAATATCGGGAGGTGCTGTTTATGGGGGCTATACGAAGATGTTGACCTGCACGGACAGTTTTATGTCATAGATTGAAGTATCCATTACGAACTTCAAATACCAAATTTGAAGCAATTCCGCTGAATAATGTAGCTAAAATCATCAAAATATCGAATATCGGGAGGTGCCGTTATATGGGGGCTATACGAAGACGTGAACCTGCATAGACAGTTTTCTGTCTTAGGCTGTAGTATCCATTGCGAACTTCAAATACCAATTTTGAAACAATACCGGTAAATAATGTCACTAAAATCACAAAATTCGCATATCGGGAGGTACCGGTATATGGGGGCTATACGAAGGCTTGGACCTGCACGGACAATTTTCTGTCATAGGCTGTAGTATCCATTACGAACTTCAAATACCAAATTGGAAACAATTCCGGTGAATAATGTCGCTAAAATCATTAAAATACCGAATATCGGGAGGTGCTGTTTATGAGGGCTATACGAAGATGTTGACCTGCACGGACAGTTTTCTGTCATAGGCTGTAGTATTCATTACGAACTTCAAATACCAATTTTGAAACAATTCCGGTGAATAATGCCGTTAAAACCATCAAAATACCGAATATCGGGAGGTGTCGTTATATGGGGGCTATACCAAGACGTAGACATGTACGGACAATTTTCTGTTATAGACTGTAGTATCCATTACGAACTTTAAATACCTAATTTGAAACAATTCCGTTGAACAATGTCGCTAAAATCATTAAAATACCGAATATCGGGAGGTGCCGTTATATGAGAGCTATATGAAGACTTGGACCTGCACGGACAATTTTCTGTCATAGGCTGTAGTATCCATTACGAACTTCAAATACCAAATTTGAAACAATTCCGGTAAATAATGCCATTAAAATCCTCAAAATATCGAATATCGGGAGGTGCCGCTATATGGGTGCTATACGAAGACGTGGACCTGCACAGACAATTTTCTGTCTTATGCTGTAGTATCCATTACGAACTTCAAATACCAAATTTGAAGCAATTCCTGTGAATAATGTAGCTAAAATCACCGAAATACCGAAAACAGGGAGGTGCTTTTATATGGGGGCTATACGAAGATGTGGACCTACAGTTCCCATTTTCAATATCAAAAGTCCTGCAGACATAATATACATTTGAGTAAAATTTTAGCAACCTACTTCATTTCGTTCGGAAGCTAGAGAGATTTCCGCAGACGGACGTACGGACATCACTAAATCGACATAGAATTTTATGCTGATCAAGAATGTATATACTTTGTGGGTGTCTAAAATGTATATTTCGAGGTGTTACAAACGGAATGGCAAAACTTAATATACCCTCCATACTATGGTGGAGGGTATAATAAATTCTTACTAAATTATCTTTTCTAGCCTTTGAGGATTCATAGAAAATCCTTTGAAAAACACCCATTTTATTCGTTTACATTTTTTTCTATTACTTGAAATATATGCTCTGGTCCAGAACCTGCAAAAAATATAAAAAAATGATAAAAAATTCCATTTAATAATAATAATAATATTTCATATATCTTTGCAGTTACTACCAAGCCACCATGGCCCACAACCCCTCCATCTATCATGTCTTCAGCAATGACGATTGTTTGTCGTGTGACCTAAAGGATACCGAGAGAGAACTGTGTAAATCGGCATTTGCTTCATTCAGCAAAGGTTTCTCGTATTACACGGTAACCTGTAGCGGTCCCAATCCCAGCTATACCAAAGTCATTGAAACCAAAACCAACAGGGTAGTAAAGGATTGGGAATTGAATTTGCCATTTCGAGAATTTTTGGCCACAAAACTAAGGCCCAAAGTACGTTTTATGAATGTTACCCTGGCCGATGGTTCTGAGGGTATTGTCAAGTTACAATTACCTCCCGGTTTGGATGAAAATTCCAACAAAAAATATCCCATGATTGTCTATGTCTATGGTGGCCCGAATTCGGTGCGTGTTACCAATGGTTTTACGGTGGGCTTTGAGGGCTATATGACCACAAATCGTGATGTAATCTATGCCCAAATTGATGGTCGTGGTACCGGTAACAAGGGCCAGGATTTACTCTTCTCCGTCAACAATCATTTGGGTGAATTCGAGGTGGAAGATCAAATTTTTGTAACGAAATTTTTGCAACACAATCTAACCTATGTGGATGAGGAACGTACCGGTATATGGGGTTGGAGTTATGGTGGTTATATGACGGCACGCACCCTGGCCCATGACAATGAGAATGTTTTCCAATGTGGTGTATCAGTGGCACCGGTAACCTCATGGCTGTACTATGACACCATTTATACGGAACGTTATATGGGTCTGCCCACGGAGGGGGATAATTTGAAAAAGTATTTGGAGACAAGTGTTCTGGAGGAAATCAGTAACTTCCGCACCCACAACTATATGCTTATCCACGGGTCGGGTGATGACAATGTCCATTATCAGCAATCGCTGATGCTGGCCAAGGTTTTGCAGGCCAATGACATTTTGTTTGAAGAAATGGTGAGTGAGAATGTTTAAATAAATGGGGGTTTCTTTTTCTGATCTCTATATTTCGTTCCAGACTTACACTGATGAAAACCATTCCATTGGCAATTTCCTGCCTCATCTGTATCACACCATGGATAATTTCTGGATTAATTGCCTCAACTTGGACGTGGATGAAAATGAAATCTTTTAAATCAGGGACAAATTAGTCACCGAGAGTTGACTATAATAAAACTACATACCTTGCCGTAGGAAAAAAACAAATTTTAAACGAAGATTTTTGTAAAGTATTGTTATTATTTTTTTATAATAACCATAAACTGTATTAAAAAAAACATTGTATTTTTTATAATTAAAATATATAATAAATTATTTTGCATTTAAATTTTTTATTAATTTTTTTATTTAAAATATTTATTTGTTCGTTAAGCATATGCTTTGAGTGGCAATATCATTAGTGGTCGCATTGCCAACCACATGAGGGTTGTTTCAACGGTAATCGTGGTTGTTGCCTAGGAAATATGTTGTAGAGTTGCCATTCATTTACATATTATAAAATACTGCTTTAATTGATGCAAGTGGGCAATAATGCCAAATCCATGGTATAAAAAGGAAGGTGTGTGGATTCTATAATAAATGATGATGGCAATGTCCATTATCAGCAATCGCTGATGCTGGCCAAGGTTTTGCAGGCCAATGACATTTTGTTTGAAGAAATGGTGAGTGATAATGTTTTAATAAATAGGGGTTTCTTTTACTGATCTGTCTCTCTATCTTTCCAGACTTACACTGATGAGAACCATTCCATTGGCAATTTCCTGCCTCATCTGTATCACACCATGGATAATTTCTGGATTAATTGCCTCAACTTGGACGTGGATGAAAATGAAATCTTTTAAATCAGGGACAAATTAGTCATCGAGATTTGACTATATATAATAAAACTACATACCTTGCCGTAGGAAAAAAAAAAAC